CGTGGCTCCTCACAAGTGGCCTTTTGGTAGTTATGCTGTGGCTGCTTCAGCCTGGAGGACATTATTGGTGGGAAAATGAGAATGGAGGTGGTGGCTGTGGGGCAGGAGGTGCCAGGAGGGAAGGGCAGAGGTCTGCAGGGCATCCTGTGTTTTAGGCAGAGGTCAAGGTGCAGGAGGAGGCAATATTGGAGGAGCTGAGGCCTGGTCTCAGGCTGGGTTGGTGTAGTTGGGATGTTTTTGGATTTGGGGAGGAAGGAGGAACAGACTCCTAAGCAACTTTTTAATGGTGACAGGTTCTGGGGTTGGGACAGGAGGGTGTCCATATGGTATATTTGTTGGGTGGTATAATTGAACACTGGGACCCTCCCTCACAGGAAGGGGGCCTGACACCTTTCTGAGGATATTGGTCTGATATCTCATCTCTCCCAGCATGAGAGGCTCTGCTTGTGGGCCTATGGGTTGTAAGGTCCAAGGCCTTCTCTTCAGAGGAGAGAAAGGAAGTCACCAGGCATGCCTCCTGAGGAAACACTGGTTTGGTTTCTGTGTGTGCCAGAAAGCAAATATTCTTTGTGCTGAGATGCCACAGTAGCCAGAAGCCCCTCTTCTGTTGGACAAAACCTGGTGTGAGTGGAGGAGAAAGGAGGGGGGAGCAAATGGGGGGTTTGGAAGCAGAGGAGCTCTACGGTGTCCACCTGGAGAAGGTTCCAGTAGAGGGAACAGCAGGGGGAGGTCTCCTGCCAAATATCATCTATCCTCACACTTTGTCAGCTTCAAAGCTGGAAGTGGGATGGACATGGGTGGTATTGGGGTTTTGTCTCTTGGTTAGGCTTGGGGCAGAGGGTTTTGAGAGCAAAGATCTGGCCTCTGGGGCCTGTGCTCTTCCCTGGCCACTACTGTAGGGTCCAGGGTTGCAGGACAAGCAGGGAGTGAGGCCCCCTGAGTTGGAGGTGTTGGGGATGGGTTCTGTCCTCACAGTACCTGTTCCCCAGGGCCGGCTAAGTCCCGAGATGGCGAGCGCACAGTGTACTGCAACGTGCATAAGCACGAGCCCCTCGTGCTGTTCTGTGAGAGCTGCGACACCCTCACCTGCCGGGACTGCCAGCTCAACGCCCACAAGGACCACCAGTGAGTCCTGAGGCGGGGACGGGGGCCCTGTCTGTTCCCATGCTCAGCACCCAGGCCTACCTCCTTCTGCCCTCAGATACCAGTTTCTGGAGGATGCAGTGAGGAACCAGCGTAAGCTCCTGGCCTCGCTGGTGAAGCGCCTCGGCGACAAGCATGCAACACTGCAGAAGAACACCAAGGAGGTTCGGAGCTCGTAAGTGGATGCCAGGGCCATGGGGGTGTCCCCAGGTGAGTGCCTGCCTGACCTGATCTGGCACGCCCTTCCCCCAGGATTCGCCAAGTGTCCGATGTGCAGAAGCGTGTACAGGTGGATGTTAAGATGGCCATTCTTCAGATCATGAAGGAACTCAACAAGCGAGGCCGAGTGCTGGTCAATGATGCCCAGGTACACCTGTGGGGAGGGTCCTGGGGACTGACACCCTCTTTTGATTGCTCATGCCGTCCTTGAATGGAGAGGGGCCCTTGGGCCATCTTCCTTCCTGACGACACCTCCCCTTTATACCTGCAGAAGGTAACCGAGGGGCAGCAGGAGCGCCTGGAGCGGCAGCACTGGACCATGACCAAGATCCAGAAGCATCAGGAGCACATTCTGCGCTTTGCCTCGTGGGCCCTGGAGAGCGACAACAACACAGCTCTCCTGCTTTCCAAGAAATTGGTGTGTGTTGGGGCGCCTCGGTGGTGACTTGCAGGCACATTTTTCACTACCTGTGAGCTCATGCACTGCCCCTCCCCCAGATCTACTTCCAGCTGCACCGTGCCCTCAAGATGATCGTGGACCCTGTGGAACCACACGGAGAGATGAAGTTCCAGTGGGACCTCAACGCTTGGACCAAGAGCGCCGAGGCCTTCGGTGGGTCCTTGTCTTCCACTGGCTGCACCTTGCCATCCCTCCAGGAACTGTGCCTTATGTCTGTCTTCCTGCAGGCAAGATCGTGGCAGAGCGTCCTGGCACCAACTCAACGGGACCTGCACCCATGGCCCCTCCACGGGCTCCAGGGCCCTTGAGCAAGCAGGGCTCTGGCAGCAGCCAGGTGAGCAGGGGAAGGGGACCCTTGGGCGGGGAGAGGGTGGTTGTCCTCTGGGACACCTGCCCACTGAGGTCCAACCTGCTTTGTCCGCAGCCCATGGATGTTCAGGAAGGCTATGGCTTTGTGTCAGGTGAGTGGGTCTGGTCCACTGGTAGGTGGGAGGACTCCAGTGTGCTAGCTCCACCTACCCACCTACCCACTGTCTCCTTTGTCTCCTCTGTCTTCTGAGCAGATGATCCTTACATGAGTGCAGAGCCCCATGTGTCAGGCATGAAACGGTGAGTGTGGCTGTCCTTTGGTGCCGGGTGGGCATAGAGGTAAGGGTGTTCACACGAAGCTGTACCCACAGGTCCCGCTCAAGTGAGGGCGAAGTGAGTGGCCTCATGAGAAAGGTGCCGCGTGTGAGCCTCGAGCGCCTGGATCTTGATCTCACGGCTGACAGCCAGCCGCCAGTCTTCAAAGTCTTCCCAGGCAGCACCACGGAGGATTACAACCTGATTGTCATTGAGCGTGGGGCTGCAGCTGCTGCTGCTGGACAGCCTGGGACTGCGCCTGGGGCCCCTGGTCCCCAGCCCCTGCCTGGCATGGCCATTGTCAAGGTGAGTCTGTCCCCAATTGGTAATGGCTGGTAAATAAATGACATCTGCTGAAGCCTGCACCTTGCTGAGCCCCCAGCACTTCCTTTCAGGAGGAAGAGACAGAGGCCGCCATCGGAGCCCCGCCTGCTGCCACTGAGGGCCCTGAGACCAAGCCTGTACTGATGGCCCTGGCGGAGGGCCCTGGCGCGGAGGGCCCCCGCCTGGTCTCACCCAGTGGCAGCACCAGCTCCGGCCTGGAGGTGGTGGCTCCAGAGGGCACCTCAGGCTCTTCTGGCGGCCCAGGTGCCCTGGATGACAGTGCCACCATCTGCCGCGTCTGCCAGAAGCCAGGTGATCTGGTCATGTGCAACCAGTGCGAGTTCTGCTTCCACCTGGACTGCCACTTGCCGGCCCTGCAGGATGTGCCAGGGTGCGAGGCTGTGGAATGTGGGGGGAGGGGGGAACAGGTCCTGCACAGTTCCTCACTCTTGCCTGCTGTAGGGAGGAGTGGAGCTGCTCGCTCTGCCACGTACTGCCTGACCTGAAGGAAGAGGATGGCAGTCTGAGCCTGGATGGTGGTGACAGCAGTGGTGTGGTGGCCAAGCTCTCACCAGCCAACCAGCAGGTGAGGGTAGGATCATTCCTTTCGCTGCCCAGCAGCTGCACCCCCCCC